GTGAGTGATGTACAGGATCTGGGAGAGATACTGGAAATAATTGTCAAAGTCAGCTGAAGAGCCACCATGAAGTCCCACCTTGGTGAGATGAGTCTTCATTTTAAATTTTTTATTTCACATGAACAATTTAATTAACTGGTTTTGGCCTGAACAAGGAACCGAAATGGGACAAGTTCACTCAGAGATTAATCTAAATCAGAACTTATTTGAAAAATGTGCAGCTTCTTGTTCTTAATCTTTGTACTGCTCTGTGGGAGAAACACAGCTTTACTGATCTTAGACTTCGGAAAACACAAACTCCTTCTCAGCCTGTTGTGGCAATGAAATGGAGTGTAATCTGAGGATTTACACAATCTCTTTCTAAATAGCAGTTCCAGGATCTTTTGCCCTAGAGACTCATGGAATTGCAGTGCACGTGGAAAACTTTCTACAGCATAAAAATACAGTGTGACATAATTCAAGATTTCAACATGTTACAGATATCCAAAGGGTAGATTTAAGGCTATATGTGCAACCTTTACTTTGCAATTTATGACAGTCAGAAGTGTATATATATATATATTTGTCATTTTTTTCCTACTGGCATTTCAAATAGCTTTATCAGAAAGAGAACAAAAGTCCTAGACACTACAAACCGTCAGCCCAGATCTGTGTATTGGGGACATTTCTTTTAGTCAGTAGAGCTTGGGAAGGGAACCACTTGCTAGAATAAAACTTGAGGTGATAAGAACAGGAAGACAGGCAGACCAACTTGCTACCCACCAGTTATTTAGCAGCACGATAGGCTGGAGTTACTGGAACTGAAAAGAGCAAAAAGCAAAAGAAGATTAGTGTTAGCTGCGTACTTGCGTAATTCCCATGGCTGACTGCAGGCAAAGATACAACATTTTTTGAGGAGGAAAGTGGAAATTGCTTATTACATTTCAGTGTGATACACTCCCTGAAGGAACTGAAAGACATTCATCCATGACAATGCACACCAGCATGCTTGGTAGTACTTGTGCTCACAGGGACAGGCTCCGATGCTGTCTAGAAAGTTCTGTGAACTAGAGTGCACAGAAGTGTGTTGTAAGATCTCATGTCAGCACAGAACATCATAGCACATCGCCAGTAACTAGTGGTGTACCCCAGGGATCCATACTGGGTCTATTCCTGTTTAACATCTTTGTTAAATATCTGGATGATGGGACAGAGTGTACCTTCTAATGACACAAAACTAGGAGTGGATGATACAACAGATAGTTATGCTGCCATCCAGAGGGACCTCAACAGTCTGGAGAAATGGGCTGACAGGAGCATAATGAAGTTCAACAAGGGAAAATGCAAAGTCTTGCCCTTGGGGAGGAACAACCCCAGGCGCCATCACATGCTGGGGGCCAACCAGCTGGAAAGCATCTTTGCAGAAAAGGACCTGGGAGTTCTGGTGAGCGCCAAGTTGACCATCAGCCAGCAGCATGCCCTTCTGGCACACCTTGAGTGTTGTGTCCAGTTCTGGATTTTCCAGTGAGAGAGTGATGTGGAGAGTCCAGAAGAGGACTGCTAAGGTGATTAAGGGACTGCAGCATTTCCTATATGAGGCCATGGGCACAAACTGAAACACAGCAGATTCCTTCCGAACATCAGGAAACACATTTTTACTTTGAGGGTGACTGAGCACTGGCACAAGTTGCCCAGAGAGGTTGTGGAGTCTTTATCCTTGGAGGCATTCAAAAGCTGTCTGGACACAGTCCTGTGCAACCAGCTGTAGATGACCCTGCTTTAGCAGGGGGATTGGACAAGATGACCTCCAGAGGTTCCTTCCAACCTCAACCATTCTGTGGTTCTTTGATTCTGTGATCATGCTTTAGAGCCAAAGTATCACATTAAACCTGGTTCCAGACTTCTGCTAAAGGCCAGACTTGGTTAACATATCTGATGTGGAAACTTTTTCATGACTGTAGTAGTCAAAGGCAGAGAAATGCCAACCACATCGGTCCCCAGTGGGGTTCTCTACAGAAGCCTGTGTGCTTCTGTCATGTTACCCTGGTTCAACATGTGTAAGTGGGTGATAACAGAAAATACATAATGGCATTTCTAAGTCAATTTATTAAGAAATTCCTGGAAATACTAGGAAATTTTTCCTCTGAATATCAATGCAAAACATGTTCTTTGTGTACTTTATGTACTTTATCTCTGAAGATGTACTTTTTTACTATATAAATGTATCTGTTTGGTAATATAGTACTACTAAATTATCTAAGAGTTTTACATAGTTCAGACATTGATTGAGTTCTGTGCCATGTGATAATTCTAATGAAAATATGGTTCAAAGGTAGTCTCTTTCTTAGCACAGAGGACTCTGATACAACAAAACCTGCCTGTGTCCTACTCTTCACCAGGGCTCTATGTTGCCTCAGTTATTGTTTCCCTGAATCTCTATCTGAAGTGATGAGATGGGTGAATTCGCATGAGTGATGAAAGCAGCTGAGGACAGTGTTGTGTAGACCAGTGAATAAGCCACTGGGAGGATTCATGAGTCTAAAAACTTCAGGCTGTGCAAGAGTTCAGACAAAACACAGGCTGTGGTGGCTGATCATTTTTTCAACGTTCCTTCTATATTCTGGTTAAAGCTTGTTACCTTGGTCTGAGAAGTCATAGTCAAGGTCTAGTGGGATAGCACTTGGCACAGCATGTTAACAAGAGAAAAGGCTTTTACTTTGAATGTGCTATTACCTACTGCTGAAGAAATAAGTGTTTTCCATTGCCTAGACCCAGTTAACAGCAAAAGGTTTTATCAAAGAAAGCTTAGACTGTGAGCAATATTTTTTAAAACCATTAATACAGAGTTTGTTTCTGATATACTTACTTGTAAACAAGAAGTCATTCTCTACTAGTATTCTGTGTGGAGATTTTCATGCCACTTTACTGTGCAAATGAATAAGAACTGAAATAGACATTCTAAGGCAGTTTTTATTTCTACCAGCCTTTTAATTTATGATCTTAAGCACTGATTTACTGTAAAAGTTGAAAAATATATGTAATCTCTTTCACAGCTGCAAAGGTTTTTTGAGATATTCTTCAAAAGCAGTTCTCCCCAACAAGCCTTCAACAACATGAAGGAAGCTATAAGCAAACTTCTACTTATAACTGAGGTCTTCAGTGAATCAACTGCCTCAGGACCAAATTATTTCAATCAGTAAGTGACTTGCAGTTGTCATTGCTGTGCTGTTGTCAAGATAGCTCCTTAGAACAGAACAAAAATTGTAGAGGATACACAAATCCTAAATTTAAAAAAAAAATCCCTCTGTTTCAGACATCTTTATAAAGTGAGGACATGCTGCATTTAGAGAGTAAAACTCTTTGATATCCATGGTGCTTATAGTTTGTGAAAAGGTTATGAGGAATACTTAGGACCAGGTGCTGTGTCCTGATGAAGTGTTTCAGGCAGCACAAATGAACAGAAATCACTGACAACTGGAGTAGTCCTAACATATATAAACCTATATTTTGCTTCAGTGATTCTTCTGTCATATGTCAAATATGCCCAAATGGTTCAGAGCTGGCTGTGGCAGGCAAGCTGAACAAGAGACACTGTAGAATACTTTACGAAATGTACCTTATGAAATATAGCCAGGCAGCAAGTCACATTTATGTGGGTGTTAAATCATTGTAATCACTTCTATTGGAGTGTTGCAGTTCTTACACATAAATCAACCTTTATTACTTAATATTTTTATTAATTAAAATTAATATTTGTTCTATATATTTTATGTCACATCCTTGACATTTTTATGGTAAATACTAAATAAGTTACTATTTATTATGTTTATATGTTTTAGAAAGCTATTTGGGAACCCAGGTGTTTTAGTACCAGTAATATAAAGCCCATTATTTGACTTAGGCAAGTTGGGAATAAAGCTTACATTGTGAGTGGAGAGGGTAGCGAGGAGGGGAGGAGTGTAACAGGGATGGAGCTATTTTGACACCGGTCCAAACTAACATTTTTTTACCAATGGGATGTGTATCTCTTGTTTATGTAGCCCAAGACTCGCTTAGAGCTCCTGACTCATGCCTTCAAACATCCCCATAGTTGAAGCACAACTCTTTGTCTTTAATGAGCCCAGGGAGTTTCACCATCTGTTGCCCTCCAAATGTCTTCAAGGCTTTTGCAGGACCTCATTCTCATCAAAAGGCATTTTGTCCTTCAGTTTAGTTCACCTTCCTCACTTTTAAAAGTCAACCTTATAAATACACTTTAATATAGTACTGTTTTAATCAGCTCACAATCTGACCCCATCTACATTTAATGCTGCTGGTTCTTCTTAGAAATTTTATTTAGTCTGTATTGCGTGCTGCCTCTTGACCTCTGTGTGTACGTTCTTGTGTGTATTCTCTGGACCTGTGTGTGTATGGCACTGTAGCATAAATAGGGATATGGTTTGGCAGTGGACTTGGCAGTGTCAAATTTACAGTTGGACTTGATGATCTTAAGGGTCTTTTCCAACCTAAATGATTCTATGATTCTGTATTTTACAACAGTACCTAACCTCACTGAATCTGATTCCTGTTATATTGTATTGCAGATGCAGCCAGTGTTTTCAAATGCTAACCTTTGACATTGGATTTGGCACTTCCATCTACCCAGTAGTTCTTGAGGTGAGAAAATTACACAGCTGTTGACCCAAAAAATTTACACGAAAGGGAACAAAGCAAGGAACCCTCTTTGAAAGGTTCCCTGAAATCTCTAAGAAATGTACAAATATATTAGTATTAATTTTGCCTAAAAATTGAGAGTTGCTGTGGGAGAAACCAGTTTTTAAGGGAGAGACTTCCTGTGATGAAGTTCAGCACAACATTGAAGTATGCAAATCTTTCAGTTTTAGCATTAAAATACTATCACTCCAACTGAATATCAGCAAAACAAAATCCATAGGAAGTGTTGTGTGGAAGTTAGGTATTAACTGTGTCAGAATAAAGATGAAAGGAGGAAGTTACAATACCACAATTAGCTTTTAATATATATTAAAGTTCTCCATGAATTTTATTGTACTTCTTCGATACATGATCTGCTTTGATCTCCACTGTGCTGCCTTCTTCCTGGATGGTCGTCAGGGCCCTCAAAACCAGAGAAATGTGACCTGTGGCATAAACTCCCTGTGCCAGTTTTGTAGCACTCCTGCCTCAGAACAGCCTGACCAGAAACAAAAATTGTACTGCTTTCCAGCTGCTTCTCATTACCCCTGCATATACGTATGAATATGTATAGACCTAAGTATATAAAAACTTCGTCCATATTTATGATACACAAAAGGCAAAAGAAAATTAGTAAATATATCCTGGGAAATTACAGGAGAACACTTTTAAAATTTATCCTCATTTAAAATCTGTTCAAGTTTCTAGTAACAACAGTACAGTCAATCTCTCCATCCTTGACAAAAAAAAAAAAGGAAAAAAGAAAAAAAAAGACCCTTTAAACACAAAGGAAAAATGGATATATGAAAACAAGTTTGCACAATTTAAAAAATCCATGAAGGCAATATCCTTAATTAGTCTGACAAGACTTGTTTAACTAGTATAAGAAATGTGACATATCAAAAAATTTGATAATTATATATACCAGTCTATAAAAAAATTCTCCCAGGAGTTGCTTAAAAAACTAAACATAAAGCCTAATGTTTACCTGCCTGTCTCAACCATCAAGCATAACCCATAAATATACAGTAAAACAGTAGGGTTTAATAGTTTCTTATGAAAATATGAATTGCTCTAAAAAATAACAGTTGATAATTACTGTGACATTTGACTTTGAATAATGTCCCTTGGAAACCTTGACATGCATACACCCCATGCAGCTTCAAGTTATATTTGTGTTTATGCTAAAATACTAATTTATTACTATTTTACAAACGAGTTTTTTCATTATATTTAAATATTGTAAAATTTATAATTTCATCTGTAATAACTTCTAAATACCTGAGTTTTGCAAGAATAATGTTAGTATTTTATTCGTGTTTCAAATCAAACACATAGAAAAAGCTCCCACATGAGAGTGCAATATTGTACTCTATCCACTGGAGGTCAGCAAACGTTGTGGTGTGTAGTTCTGACAGAAAATGCAGTACAGTGTTATATTATAATCCCGGCTGTTTTATTAGTGTTATTATGATTTATTTTTTTTTAATAAATAGTTCCAGTTTGGTGTATGTAGTCATGATAAGACTGGAGTTGATACTCAAACTATAAATTCTTATATTGTTTTTCAACAGGTGCATGAAAACTTTGACTTTCAAAATGAGAACGAACCAACTATTCAGGACCAAACTTTCAAAGAATTTCTTTTTGAAGATACTTTTAAATTTCTCTTATCTAATGAATCCTCAACCTCCAGTTTAATAGAAGCTTTACAAAAAATATATGGATCAACAGTGAGCAAGGTAGTTCATTCCACCTTTGTCTTACTAATTATTTGAAAATATTTCATTCTAAATTGTGTGCCTTTCTGAAATTGTTGGTGCCAACTTATAGAATGAAGGATTAATTCAATCAAAACTATCTGTTACTGAATTCTGGGGCATAAAAATTTAATTAGATTGAACAATTGAATTTTCTTTTATAAGAATTCCACTTTCAGTTTATATCATTCCCAAAGTACAGTACTTTAAATATATATTTAAAACTTTGACAAAGTAAGTTCCCCACCATGTTTACATGTTATTTTTTAGTATACAGGTTTGTGTGTTTTCATAAACCCAGAATTTATTAACTCAGACAAGTAGATTCATGAGCATCAGAATTAAATTTTGTTTCCTACAACTTCATGTCTTTTTCTGAATGCAAGATCCAATTACAATTTTTCGCATTTATAGGATATGTATAAAGTTTGCATCACTAGTGAAAACTATTTCTGACAAGCTGGGATCTTCTTTAGCAGTGTTTCTCTCAGTCTAGGCACTATTAAGAGTGTATTTCTGAGGATCCCCCCTGCTTGCAAGACTTACAGGGACTAAATTATCCATGTGACTTCTTCCTCTCAGACAGGTGTGACTAAAACAGGGTCACAGAACATTTAGAAAGCAGAACATGGGTTCTAAATTTATGACAGGATAAAGTAGGAAGCCACAGACATATGCACACGTATGACACAATTACCTAAGTCTGTATTCTGTAGGAGACCAGACCACATTTCAAACTCTCCACTTCACTGTATATGCTTTATGCAGTCTGTTCCCGTGGTAGTTTCTATGGGTACTTTTCTACACAAAGCTAATGCACAGTCTACATTATTCTGGACTGAAAATGGGAAGAGCTATCAGGGAGCTGGTTTGACATGGCTTTGGATGAAGCTAGGGCAAGTTGAGAGCTGCTGCAACTCATTCCTTTGAACACCAAAGGGATTTGGGTCTAATGAAAGCACATTGCTTTCCATGTGATTTCACCGGAATATCCCGCCCTTTCCTTCATAGGATGGAACTTACCACAGAGAAGATGAGCAATGTTTGTCTTTAGAAGAGATAAATGCAATGATTACTTTCATAAAGGAGCTGAAGAGCCTTGGACAATTTGAGCTGGTAAAATAAACAGGGTTTTGTTGTACTGCATATGTATTTTATGTAAATCTCTTAACATTTCTCCTTCATTACCATTCTTTGCTGTCTCTGGCACAGTACTAAGCTGGATGGACAAGGAAGCAGGGAGGTAGAGGTTATACTGATTTTATTTTGGAGTACTTTTTAATTTAAATTAAAAGACATAAAGAAATAAAACTGAGAATTTGAGTTGAGGATTCATTGAAAAAGATGGCTAAAGCAGAAACAGGGTCCAGAAAATAGAATGAAAGGAAAATAATTATCTACATGACTAATGAGTTGGTAAGAAAACAGAATGATAATGAAGCAAAGCAGGTGTGAATGGAAGAACTGGAGACAGTACAACACTGAGTTCATGACCAGAGAATAGATGCAGATAATAAAGTGGCAAAAAAAGCAGGCGGATTATGTAATATGTCTTCTTCTTCACACTTAAATCAGTTCATTTTTTGGCAAATAAAGATGAAGGAATAACAGTCAGTGTCTGTGAATAGTCATGGCAGTTAATGAAGGAAATTATGAATATTGGGGAAATAAAAGATCTGAATCCATTGTTCAGAAACTCTGCATCATATCAGGATTTCTTCTAGACCTCCTGGATGAGTATAAGGGTTGGAGACTGATGAGACCTTCTGAAGAAGGATTAAGTTGAATAGATCTGGAGGTCACATCAGAGGCAAAGGAATTAGACTGCCATGTCAGTACTAGTAATCCTGGTTTGCAAGGCTGGGCAAGACTAATTTTCTACACATGTGGGAAAGAGCATTAATATATATCCATTATTATGCTATATATGCTGTCTTCTGATAATTTCTCACTTTGCATTTTACAAATATTATAATGTTTACTCTCTAATCAGTGTCTCTCTTCTCAGCTTTTCCCTTCGGCTGCACCCAAGATTCAAACTTTACTGCATGACCTTTATCACATGGTAGACCCAATGAGGCGGCTTGGTTCAGTCCTGACTGTGCATCAGCTGCTTTCCAGTTTACTTGAACAATTTCAGTCCATGACTAAAGAGGCACATACAAGTCTTTCAGAATGGTAAGATAGCTATTATATGATATATTGAGGGTAGTTTATCAAATTATATTAACTGCAGTAGCTCCAGTGATCATCATAAAACTTAACTTTCAGTAGATGTAGGTGGACTTATAACACTTGAAATGGAGGTCCCTCATCCCATCATGGAGCACTTCAGCCATTCTGTCATTAGAGATGTAATTTGGTTTCTACATAGGACAGTTTTGTCCCTTTGCTTCTCTTTCTAATACAGAGAACTCGGAGTTGAAAAGTTATTTGGAGCTACAGTAAATTTTTTTCGAAGAAATATGAAATCAGGTAACTTGTTTCTGAACAACTGTAAAATCAAAATTTGGCATGCTTGCCACAGTTAAAATATAAAATTTCAGGTGGTTTTTCCAAAAGGGATTAATAATTTTGAATGGCTCTACATTTTCTGTCCAACAAGAGACAGGTCAAAGAGCATAATACTCTGAGAACCTCATTTTAACTCTTTTTGAAAAGCTGCAAAAATATTGTTGTGGCAAAGTTAGATCCATTGAGCTTCTGGCAAGAAATTTAAACTTTCATAAGGAGAGAGGGAGAAAGGAAGGAATGGAGGGAGGGAGGGATGAAAGAAAAGAAGGCTTGGGAACAGAGGCATATTAGACAATATGTGTGCTAAATTCCTCTGAGTCTCAAGTTAAATGTGTGAATGACATTATTTTGGACATTTTGCTGTGATTCTGTGAATGCCATAATGACTATATAAGGTGTCTGTAAGATGTCTTAAGTTTTAATTTTGTTCCTTGATTTCAGCAAGTCAATAGTCATCTGTATCTTTGTTTGCTTAGCTACAAAGTGGATCTTATACTTTATCACCATGCTAGGTAATTGTTTATAAGTGTTTTGAAAATAACAGTTTCATGAATGTGCTAAGCATTATTGTTACTGCCAACCATTCCATGAAAAGTAACTCAAAGATGCAGCTGCTTGCATTCATGTGTAAGCCCTTGCCCTTTTGCCAAAATATTTAGGTTTGCATATCAAAGCATACCAACCTTTAGCAGCTTTCTGTTCTAATCTAAGCGGTGCCACTCACTTACTTTGAACAAGCCCCTTGGCCTCTTTTTATTTTCCTAGCTGAACATTACTGTATGTGTATAAATATGTAGCAGTACCATGACCTTTCTCCAGGGCATAAGCCAATCTACTACTTTGCACTGTATTTTTTGGCAATGGCTAAGCTAGTAACACCGTTCTGTTCATTCACTGTATAAAAAAATGTGTTCTGACATTGCTAAATCATAATCTACTTCTATAGCTACATGCATGTGATGGTGATGCATGTGTCAAATCTGCATGTAATTGTACTTAATTGCAAAGAAGAAAGAGCTTAGTAGAGCTTACTCCCCAAAGGTACACATTCTTTTTAAGCTTTGATTAAACTTTTTTGAGATTCCCAGCTTTGATGAGTTTGTATATCAGAATACTTTTCCTGAATTTCTTCAGTTAAGGGTGGGTTGTTTGGTTTATTTATTTAACAGTTCTTATTTCTCTGACTATGCAAAATTGTTATTTCTATTTACAAAATCCAAAGATTTGCATAGCTGACTGTCCAACCAAACAAGATATTTATGGCAAAAATAATGACTTCTGACTTAGGTCTTGTACAGTTATTCTGTTCACTCATCATGAATCTGTAGGACAGAGATAGGATTTAAAGAAGTTTCCTTGTCTACTTTTCTTAACCTATTTCATCTACATGACTGGTATTGAAACCTTAAAAGGTATTAGTGAAGTCTCTGAATTCCTTCCACAGGAGAAGCAAGAAAAACTTGCAAACTACAATGAAGCCTAGGTGAGAATGACCATCTCAGGTGTATTGGTATAACATATGACAAAGTTTTTTGAAAGTTATGCAGTGGTACTACCTAACATGTGCAGTGAAATAAATTTTCTCCACTGCTTGTGCACTGTTTTTCAACTCTATGCAGTTTCAACTTGTGATATGGTTAAGACATAAATCATTACTGTCCTTTAGAATAGGTAGTATGAAGTATGCTGTGTCAGACAGCAGAGTAGCATGGGAGAATCAGATTAGTGAGAAAAGCTAACTCTTCTGTGTTTGCATAAGACAAAAGCCTAAGCAGGTCAATAAAGTTGCAAATGCTTTTATGAAATTAACTGATATATTTGGAAAAGTGTTACTAGCTTCCCACATGCAAGCCCTTTTTTAGGTCAAAATAGAAGCAGCAGCCCTCAAACTGAATTTGGGTTGAAAATAATTTCTTGGAGTTTTACTTGGTCATGATCATCAGCTGGGCAGCTTGAGAAACAAACATGGTTCACCTATGGGGCAGAAGAAGACAACAGCAAGGAAGTCTGGAAAAGATCACTGATCTGCAATGGGAGGAATGAGAGACAGAGAGAAGGAGGAAAGGAGAGATAGTTAGGATTAAGTGTCAGGAGACCAATCCCACTCTTGAGTCTGCAATTTTGTATTTCTCTTTCGAAGATCAACACAAGATACTTGAACCAAATGTCTTCATGGAATCTCTGAAACTGAAACCAAACAAACAGTGTGCAAAACAGAGAGCTCATACTGATGGTTAGTCAAACAGGAAAATATTGTTAGTGATCATGCATCACAAAATTACCTCCAGTGGCTCCTCATTTTCAAGAGAAACCTGCAAAACACAATCTAAAGAAATAAAATTAATAACTACTGAATACTGAAATATAGTCTCAATTTTGACTTTTTGACTCATTAAAATTTGCACCATCCACAAATAACACAACCATTGGAGGCCCCAAAAGTGACTAGATTTTTTAATTTTTAAATTTTAATCTTATGAAATATATTATGTATTTCCACATGTCTTTCATTGCTTATGTCTTTGATTGCTTAAGCCATCAGAGCTACATTACTATTGCTGCTGTCAATCTTTTAGCTTTCTCATTTGCTAAATCAGAGAGTTTCCTAAAGGACAGGTTCACTGTCAACAGTTTGTGATGTACACAGCAGGGATCTTTGAAAAGGTACATTCACAAGCATGCACTCACCTAGGGTTTCTGACATACAGTCATTAGTTTCATTAGATCTAATTCCAAAGTGTGTTGGCAATGTACACATCTGTGCTTGATAGCTCTCCCAAGATACTACGTAAATAAGGAGCCACTCATACATATGAGGGTCCCTTCTTGAGTAATAGTGGATGAAGGGAAGGACTCAGCAGAGTTCAGGATCTCAGCCACTCCCTGCCTGAGGAATAGCTTCATAACTGTGTGGTTCCTCAGTCTGCTGACTGCAAGGAGCTTTGACAAATGAAAGCTTAATGGTGCTGATGGTTGAAAAGACCAGTCTTCAGCAGAGATAAATCATAGAATCATAAAATCATAGAACCATTTAGATTTGAAAGATCACCAGGTCCAACTGTTAACCTAACACTGCCAAGTGCACCACTAAGCCATGTCCCTAAGCACCACATCTACACATCTTTTAAATACTTCCATGGATGGTGACTCCAACACTTCCCTGGACAGCCTATTCCAATGCTTGACAATCCTTTTGGTGAAGAAATTTTTCCTAATATCCAACTTAAACCTCCCCTGGTGCAACTTGAGGTCATTTCCTCTTGTCCTATCACTTGTTACTTGTTACTTTGGGAGACCAACACCCACTTCGCTACAGCCTGCTTTCAGGTAGTTATAGAGAGCGATAAGGTGTCCCCTCAGCCCCCTCTTCTCCAGACCAAACAACCCCAGTTCCTTCAGCTGCTCCCCATAAGCCTTGTTTTCCAGACCCTTCACCTGCTTCGCTGCTCTTCTTTGGACGTGCTCCAGTACCTCCATATGTGTCTTGTAATGAGGCCCAAAACTGAACACAATACTCAAGGTGCAGCCTCACCAGTGCAGAGTACAGGGAGTCGATCACTTCCCTACTCGTGCTGGCTATGCTGTAATCTATCTTTCTTTAGAGTAATCTGAGTATCTTTCTGTAATATAATTTTGAAATACTGCATTTTGATACCCTGCTATAATTAGATAGTTATTATATGTCTCTTAATGTTATCTGTTGATATTTACAATCTCTTTGCAGAGTTAACATGTACAGATCATGTCATTTCTTTGGGAGCCAGGGCTTTGCAGTGGTGGTGGCTGCCATGCTCCTCAAGTGTCCTCTGATTAGACTGAAGTCTGGCATTTTATAG